TTAGTGGGCATGGTGGTATTGGGTTGATGGTTGGACTGATGCTCTTACAGGTCCTTTCCAACCTTAATGACTCTATTCTAGTTTTACTTTCATTAAAAAATAATCCAGCCACCAAGCCAGGAAACACAAAGTTATTACTCTACCCTTAATCGGTTTAGTGGTGGACTTGGTAGTGTTAGGTTAATGGTTGGACTGGATGATCTTAAAGGGCTTTTCCAACCTAAACAATTCTATGATATTCTAATTTATCAGTGTCCAAGTCAGGGTCTTCCAGTAATAACATCAGTACAGGAGAGAAAACTTCTTTTAAACGTAGTGCAATAGAGTAACTTTACCTATTTGAGGATCTAGAGGCACTTTACCCAGGAGGGAAACATTTAAGTTCTGGCACATCTTCTCCGCACCTCCAGTGGTTGGGGGAAAGATCTGAGATTCATTCTGGGACAACATGAAAATCAGAGTTAAAGTATTGCAATTCTGAGAACAAGGCATTTTTTGAGCAATGTTTTATGTACAAACAACATCAAGATAAAAAATGCTCTGAGATACAGATAGCCTTACCTTACACTTTGGACATATAAAGCCACTCATATTTTCCACAACACCTATAATTGGCAGTTTCACTTTATGGCAGAAGTTGATCTCTTTCCGAACATCCTGAAGCGATACTTCCTACAAATATTAGGAAACACTACTACTTTACCTGTAATGTTTTGATGCTGAACCCATTAAGTTACATCCTTAGAGCTATTTTAAAGAAAGTTCATAATGAATTATTACTGCTCTCTCTGTATTTTTAAGAACGTAAACCTGTGTTACGGGCTCTAGCAACAATTCTATGAGTAGCAACAGAACAGGTACAACAGTTCTAGCCTACTGACTGTGGTTCTGTTTTGAAGTCTGACTTGACTCTAGTGAAGATTCAGCCGTATTGATGTTTCATATGCTATTTTAATCTTATATCTTTAGTTCTTTAAATGTAACTTTTTCACATTTTCAGTTTACAGAAAGACCCTTGGTATTCTCAGTAGAGCAGGCAAGGACAAGAACCACCAGGCTTATGCTTGTTATCTCTTTTCAAATTACATCTCAAATAGCTTATCATCCTCTCGGACTTTCTGCATATATGCCTGACCCCATTCAGTTCGCCCGTTCCCTTCTCTTGCCCTCACCACCTGTCGGATACCACCTTCAGCATTTCACTTCCATTTTATTCTTTCAGCTGTTGTGAAAATACCAGGTGTCTTCTGCTAGTTTGATCTCCTGTTCCTTTCCAAACCAGTCTTTAAAACTTACATTTGAATTTGGTGTATTTTGAATTTGGTGTATTTTGAATTTGGTGTATTTTGAATTTGGTGTATTTTGAATTTGGTGTATTTTGAATTTGGTGTATTTTGAATTTGGTGTATTTTGAATTTCAGCTCTCTAGGGGCTGATTTTTCTTTTAAAAATGCACATCACAAAGCCACCTACGGGAGGCAACAGGCTACTTCACGTGGTGTCAAACTGCACATTTTATCACTTAAAAACTACACTTCTTACCGACTTCTGAATGTTAAGCTGTCGGTGAATAAATTACAAATCTGCAATGATGTGAACTCTAATCTCGAAGAAGGAGGCGAAATACTGAATTTCCCTTCACCACACAGCTTTTGATTGTGGACTGCTCAGTGGCTTAGTGACCCACTCAGATCCCCTACTCCAACTGAAACACCCATCTAACTCATAAACCAGCCAGCTGTAGGCACAAAACAAGTCAGTCAACTCTGTCAGACTCTGTGCCATTGTTTCTCTGAAGTAAAGACTCTAAACCAAGGATTGGATTTAACTGCCACAACGCTTCTATCAATGAAAATTAAGTTCTCGTACCTGAGGGGTAGTAATTATAACAGCACCATCTATGTGCGTTGCACTGAGATACTGCACAATAGATAAGTGTTCATCTGATGTTCCCGGTGGTGTATCCACAATCAGGTAGTCGACTTCACCCCAGTCCACGTCACGAAGAAATTGTTTTATCAACCCTAAAAGAAAGGGTAAGCATGTGGAAGAGAGAAAAAAAAAAATCTCCCTGCATTTCAAATTTTAGGGTCTACTTCAAATTTCATAGTCTAGGTATGCAGATTCTTCTGCCTTGCCAACTTAAGTATGGAAATGCTTGTTTTGCCAAGGCTTAAAAAACAAAAAAAAAACCAATACAGCATTTGACCTTCTAACTTCACCAGATGAGTATGTTGAACTAAAGAAAACAAGTAACCATTCACTCATTTTTCCCCTATAGCTTACTACAGTATGTTTACATTATTCGTTAAACAAGCTCATGATACTAAATCTTTCAAGTATATAAATTGTTGTTGAAAACACTTGATACTTACCATTTTTCTTTGGTCCTCTCCAGATGACAGCATCATCAGGACTACTAAGCAAGAACCCCACGGACATGACACCTAAGTTTTCTTCAACATACTAAAAGAGAAGTTGAAAAACTCAGTAGACCTTACAGAACAGTAAAGAAAGAATAGAGAAACCAACTCTTAAGCCAGATTTTATAGAAAAAACAGTCTGGGTCGGGGGAAGGCATTAAGAAAATAAAGGCAGAGAACCTTATGCTTCTCTTTTACCAAAGGGCTTTGAAAACTACAAGTTTTGTGCAGTGCTCACCAACTACCTTCACAGACTGAAAAAAATCCAGTTGTAGGAAGATTTACAGTGGTTTACAGAATCACTGGAGACAGCACAAGGATAAAACCAGCTTTCCCTCTCAGCATCAAACTGTCTTTTTAACAGCGTACACACTAAAGGTCATCTTTAGACAACCAACACTCCTGCAAAACTTTCCCTGCATCTTCTAAAGATTAATGAGGTTTTTCTTGGGTGTAAGATACTTTTTGTCTGTCATTGGAAAGGTGACATATTGTACAGCCGCATGATAACCAAAAATAATGAAATGAAGTAACTTTTATTTATTTCCCATAGTGTAGTAGGAAAATCAGTAAACAAGAGATACTTAAAATAATGAAACTATTTTAGAAATGTAGTATTATTATGATTAACAAAAGAAATTTAACACTCTGACCTCTATATAGCCTATATCCAGATTCTATAGAATCAGTACAAAAAGAATTAACAGAAGTACCCCCTGCTCCTCCCTCACTGTTTTTTCACTTCAGAAGACACTGCCCAACCCAAACAAACCCAACAAACTTTCTGAAACAGTTGCACCAACTTACCACCGGAGACCATCCAGATCCACTCTGATGAACCTGAAAATTGAAGCGATACATAAAGTTAGATTAGAAATAAATACAGACGCTATATATAACACGAACTTAAGTCAAAAACAGGTAAGCAGATATCCTGTCTGTAGGTACAATACTGCTTTATTGGAGCAGCTGAGTTAAAAACTGCAGAAGGGCCAGATCTCCATTAATAAGTGAATAATAAATGTCCAACCCTTTTGGAAGAAATTTACCCATGACTTTATATATTTCTATAAAATAGTCTAGGGCTGATAAAGAGCAGCACGTTAACTTTACTGAAATTTTAAGTAGTCATGAATCCATGGCTGATATGCAGCAAATGTTGGTTTGCAGAACTGGTCATCCTGAAAGTAGACAACTCTCTTACTTCTCCATCTCACCTTCTTTACTTCCCTACCCATTGCCACGCAGGCTTCCCAATAAGCAGTCCTTTCAGAAGCTTTAAGTCTACAAAATCCTAAAACGTTAATGAAAAACTGAGCGGGAATCTTTTAACAACCACGTTCGAGCGTTCACTTACCTGTTCTCCTTCTAGACCCATCATTTTCGGGATTGATGGCCCACAGATGTCTATGTCCAGCAGAGCAACCTGGGAAACAAACAAACCGACCGACCCACCCACTGGAAACAGGCCTGCACGGGACTGTTTCCAAAGTCTAAACCGTGCGATGAAAACAGTCACGCACTTATAAGCTCAAAGCCTTCAGGAGACGGGGCCCAGGATCAGCGCCGTCGAGGCCCTGCTCGGCTGCCCCAGGAGCGCCGCGGGGCCGGAGAGGGGGGCAC